GCAGTGGAGTTATTCACATACTCCCTCCGTTTCTCAAAACGATTCTTCTTTTGATTTTGGGGAAAAATAAAGAAAGTGTAATTTTAGTTGACTTTCTAATTTTGCCCCTGATGTGATAGGTAAAAGCAAGATGTGATAGTTTAGTTATTAGTGAAAAAGTATGATGTGATAGGTAGGATATGAAAAAGTAGGGGTAAAAGTGGTTTTTTAATAGAAAAGGGAAGTGTTTTAAGAAAAACAAAAAAAAATGAAAAAGGAAGGATTTTAAGAAACAGAGGGAGTAATATTTAAAGAATATTTTTGTCTAAAGGGGCATTGGCGTATGGTAGCAATATGAGAAGCATGAGAAGCAACGACGTAAATTTTGAAACATTTGAGGGTAATGATGCATATTTATCAAACTAGAGGGGTGTTGACACTAAACTTTAATGTGATATGTTTAATAATTAGTAGATATACAAAAAGGTAAATTTAAAAAAAAGGGGGTATTTTTTGCGAGGTGAAAAGTAAAAGTGAAAATTTCTTTAGGAGGGTTTTCAGTCCCAGCTTTCATTATCTTTACCTTAAATTCCTCTTCTTCTTTCCTGTTTCCCTTCCCAAAACTCCCGTAATTTTACGCCATGCAATTAAGTAAAAAAGTACGTGTCTTTTGACAATTTTCCTCTTTTAAACAACCTTATTAATCCATTTTTTTTTAACTTATCAATGTTTTACTGGTACCCGTATACTAAAATAATTACGTCACATTGTGATGACAGATAAATGTACTATGATTTGTCATCTATACTATACTTAAAGCGAGGATAATTTTTTCCCGCCCATACGGGATGCTAATATATGTAAACTGTTTAGTACTTTAATTATCTTGCCTCAATACATGTGAAGCATATACGGATACTATTGAATGCTATGTTTCGTGTGACTCCTTACATGGTAAGTATTACTTGCCATTTTTGGTTTAATTTCTATTAATTACTAATTAATATGTTTCCATTTTAATTTAATCAATGGTAAGTGTTGTAGTGTCACTCTTGGTTTCTATAAAAAAATAACAATAATAATAATTGCTAACCTAAGCAAACAATTTTATAATAATAAAAATATTATTATTATTATTATTATTATTATTATTATTATTATTATTATATAATAAATTTTCAAAATATTGTAAACTAAAAGGAATTAATTAGTTATACCTACAAAGTAATATGTCCTCTAATTTTGTAAACTAAATTTCCGTGAACCTAACTACACAGTTAAATGCGATGATATTTATTTAAAAAACAATTGTTTCCTTTTCAGCTTTTTTGTATAAATAGTAACAAATGTCGTGTTGAGAATAACATATCCCTTATCAACATTATATTATATTATTTACGCTCTTTAATACAAATATTAGTAAATAATCATGGGTGTGTGGTTGACATTCGACAAAACTAATGCTACAAAATTATAGGTAATAGAATATTTGAAATTAAACTTATTTGATCGAATTTATTTTAAACTAAACTTATTTGATTATAAGGGTAAAAATAAAAAAAATATGATGCTACTAAATTATAGGTAATATAATTATATTTTTTTTATCAAATACGGAGTAACTAATTAAAGTAATCAAAAAAATAAATTAAGTTGACCGTGCAAATAGCATCAAGAAAAATAGTTTTAGAATGGCACATCTATCTACGATTTACTCCATCCGTCCTAAAACTTTCTTCTCAGTTTGACTTTTTTCCATTTTTAATTTTTGGCTTTGACTTCAAATTTTGCCCTCCTTAAAAAAGATTTTTTGCAAATTGTTTTTGCAATCATTCAAAATATAGAGTAAGAAGATAATTGGTGTAAATACATGAGGGTATTAATGTCATTTGTCATATTTTTTTTAATGGGTAGGTAGTTTTAGGACGGAGAGAAATGAGAAGTGGAAAGAAAGTTTTAGGACGAAGGGAGTATGATATATTTAGAAAGAAGGGAATTCCCCTTTGCTTTTTTTCACCTAAATGGTCTTCAATTACAAAAGGGAAGCGCTTTACATAAATTGGTAAATTTTACATGCAACAGTGGCATGTATAAAGTAATAAATATTTATGAATTATAATGTACCATGTATAATAAATTCAAATGCCAAGTAAAAGGTAATTATGGTAATTAAATTACCCATGTAATATATTTTCATTAATAGGGTAATTCCATACCTTAAAATTTTTAATAATGTCGTGTTATAAAAAGTATATTAATTATGGTACCGTGTTATAAAAAGTATAATTCACACGGAGGATAAAAAGTATAACTTTTAAATACCTTTTTACAAAAAGTATAAATATTACGGAGTACTTTTTATACTTTTTATGATACCGTGTAAATAAAAGTATTCTACACCAAATATTATTTGGTCCAACATTATATATTATAAATGAAATTTAAAGGTTTGGAAATGGAAATGATAGTGTGAAAAAATATCGATAAAAAAATATTGGTGTTTTTGTTTTTAATTTGTACGTATTTTAAATAAGGCAATTTCATTATAAACAACGTAATAATAATAATAATAATAATAATAATAATAATAATAATAATAATAAAGGTAGGTTCCTTTTACGTGATTACCATGTATAAAATATTATCGTCTTTGGAAAAAAACATGAAAGCATTGCCTTGAAAAAAAATATTATCATACCTTAAAGTATCGAAATTAAAATTACCGTTGTGTTTGCATTTATACTTTTTCGTTATTTTAAATAAAATGATTTCTTTATGCACGACTTTGGTAAGAATGAATCATAAATACACATTGATAATTAAAAATTTAAGGTAACCTCAACAAATAATTATCTTTCCTTTTTTTTACTTTATACGTATTTAAATAAGGTAACTTCATTATAATCAATGTAATAATATTATTAAAAAAGGTATGTTTCTTTTTTGTGAGTACCATGTATAAAAAATTACTATCTTTAAAAAAAACGTTGCCTTGAACAAAAAAATATTCTCACATCTTAAAGTATCCAAATTAAAATTACAGTTGTATTTCCGTTTATACTTTTTAGGTATTTTAAATATAGTTTTTTCTTATATATGGTTTGGTAAGAAAGAATCATTAATACACGTTCATAATTAAAAATTTAAGTTAAAAAAGGAATGTTGAAATGGTAAGTAACACCAACCGTGTAATTTGGCCAAAAATATTACATTGTAATTTTAAAAATAAAAATTTTGAAAAAGGAAAATAGAATAAGCCAAAAACGTTTCATAGTATAAATGCGATCATTTGCAAGGATTTTCGTAATTAATTTCTTTCAAGTGCACTTTTAAATATGGCCGTTGAAGAAAAAATTTAATTTAGTAACGTAAATATGACCCGTGCAATGCGCGGTTGTGATACTAGTTTAGACTTTATTCTAATTTTATTCCATTACTTTGTGAATTAGGGTAATACAAATTTGAGAAATAATTTGCCTATACAGGATTCGAACCCACATCTGTAACACATATCGCTCTATCATTTGAGCTAATAGACAATGATTTATTTTTTCAAACAAAATCCTAAGTTGTACTTGAACCTCTTAATTATGCATTTTAATCTTTTAAAATATGCATCATTTGATATTTCCTTACCTCATATTCAAATGTATCATAGAATATTTTAAATGTATTATTGTTTGCAGAAATTTCATTATCTAGATACATGAAAAAAATGCATCGAAAAAAAATTAGATGCATCATGCAAGTCCATAAACACAAAAAACACAATCAAAATTGAGAAGAAAAAATAATCAAATGCGCACATCCAAAATTTTGAATGCCAAAACCAACATGTGGTTTTGACTCAATATGGCATTATAGAATGGACAATATATGACGACGAGGCATAGGAGCTGAGTAAACGTGGTGTTTTCAATCTCCTAATTAATGGCTTGTGAAATTGTCAAAATACATTAAAAAAATAAATGTAATACATTAAAAAAACACATGGAAGGAATGAAAGTAATACATTAAAAAAAATAAATGTACACCGTATTAAACCAACAAGTTTAATGTGTTAACTTGAAACCATTTATGAACGATTACATAGGTATTCGCTGAGATCGAAAAAACACCCGATGACGATATAATATTTAACAGCAAAAGCGATAATAAACCCTTAAGATTTTAGGAGGAAGATACGGGAAGGTGGTTTCCATATATTGAAGTAGAAGCGACGTTCGGGATGAACTGATACGGCCCATGCGGGAGCCCAAGGTTCTGAGATAATGAATGCAACTGAATGCAACCACGTCGTTCGGGTCGAGTGTCTAAACCACTGGCCTGTCTCCGGGATTATGTTTAAATTCTTTACTACTTTTATTTATTATTGTATTCTAGATTTTTGTTAGTTGGACGTAATTATAAGCTCCTCCGAGGGTTTCTTTTTTGTTGTGCCTTTGTTCTTGCTTACACCCTAGCCCTCACTCACGCCTGCCGCAAGAACTCCTCAGGGGAGTTCTTAACAAGTGGTGCTTTCATCCCTTCCGAACTCCGTGATCATGTCAGGCGATGATTCTTCTCCATCTCCATGGCATGCCAATCAAGCCCTGGACGACATGCGGCTTGCCATTCAAAATCTTGCGTTGGAGATCCGTACGTCCCGCCATGAACATCAAGTTCTCGCCCAACGTATGGATAATCTCTTTGAACCACGGGGGTTTAATCTGCCTCCGCTCGGGGGTACGTTTGGCATACCGCACACAGGCCCCCCGTCGTCCTCCCCCCAATGCTCTGAAAACCGGACCGGACGTCGACCCGGACAAAGGATTGGGTCAAGGGCTAACCGGTTGAACCGGGGTCAACTCGGGTCAACGACTCGGTCAATGGTCATTAGTAGCCATGTCATTATTTTACTATGTAAATGTGCTTCCATAAAAAAGAGGTAAATGTATACTATGTTCCAAGATATTTACGGTTCTTAAGTTTCAAAAATGATGTTTGTAGCATACATATAAATTGAAGATAATACATTGATGCATTGCACTAATATTTTATACTCCATATACGATTACACATAATTCAAAACTCAAAAAGCAATTGCATCATGTTTTCAAGTTTTTCAAAAAAAACAGTTTTTAATCACCAAAACCAACATCATCATTCCCATTTCCATTCATCCCACTGTCAAATCCTCAACTTCTTCAAGAATTGTGAGCTCTTCATCATCATCATCATTGTTGTTTCCATCATCAAGTTCTCCAACAACATAGAGAAAAAAAGTGATGTAATATATATATACCAATACCTAATTGATGTAAAGAATTTAAATTCAAATTTGAAAAGAAAGAAAACAAAAAAATCCTTGGGAGGTAGCAATATACCCGTAACTCTTGAATTTGGTGGCATAGAATCCCTAGGTTCAATCTCTTCAAGCATCTCCTCCAATTCATCATAATCAAGCTCTCCTTCTTGCTCTTCCTCCACAACCCAAAACTCGTTTTTGTCAATCGATTCATAATCAACTGGGTCATATGATCTCTTTGCATCTTTGAGCCTAGAGTTAAATACATCATTTAAATAAAGTGAAGATACGTATACATTTTGCAATTTTTTAAAGATACGCTACACAAAAGATGATTTATGAGAAGATAATTTTGTAATATGAATAAGAAATTAGTATGAAACATACCTATTTTGCAAACGTAGGTTATAATGAACATACACAAGATCATTAAGCCTTTGATGCTCTAGGCGGTTCCTCTTTTTGGTATGAATTCGTTCAAAAACGCTCCAATTTCTCTCACAACCAGAAGAAGAAGCAGTTTGGCTAAGAATTCGAATAGCCAACTCTTTTAAATTTGGAGCATCGCCACCAAACATTCTCCACCATTCATCTATTGCAATGGTAAAAATATAGCAAAGTAATGAGTTAAAAGTTTAGATACTAAGTTTTAAAAATAAAGATGCATCAATTGTATATGTTTCGTACCCGGGCGTGAATCATGTGATGTCGTAATTGCAAAAGTACTTCCAAAAGATCCCAATCTCTCACGAAATAATCTAATCTCATCCAATGTCTTTCTCTTATCTCCCACATTTTGAGTGCTAATGACATGTAAAAGCCCTTCCAAGACTTTAGGCTCTTTATTACAAACCTTTGATGGATCATATTGAAAAGAAGGATTCAAATAATATGAAGCGGCATGAATATTTTTGCTCAATGTCTTATCTCACCTATCCTCAATGATGTTAATATAAGGCTCATAAGCTTTTTTTGATTTTTGAACATATCTTTTATGCCGCTCTCCACCCTTAGAATACCTTCATAAATGTACCCCATCGCTGGTTTTTCATCACAATCACATACACGTAACAATCGGATGAGAGGACCCATAATTTTCACAAGCACCAAACAATTATTCCAAAATCTCTCGTTGAGAACAATTTGTCTAAACTCTTTCCCCTTTGTAGTTTTTAAGAACCTCTTAAAATCTCCACTAACCACAAAAGATTGCAAATCAAGTCTATGATCATGGAGACTTTTCAAGGCAATGAAAGCTGTCCCAAATCTTGTGCTTGCGGGCCTAATGATTTCCCTCCAATTTGGTCTCTTTCTCAACCAGTTTAAAGCCCACTTATGATTGTATACAAATATAGTGACTTTTTGAGCAAGTTGTATAACTGATTGTACGTGTTCAAGGCTCCCAACATCACTCAAAATTAAATTAACACAATGAGCACCACAAGGAGACCAACTAACATTGGGATACCTCTCGGTAAGTAATCTCCCAGCCGCCTTGTAGTTAGAAGCATTATCAGTCACCATATGAACAACATTTGAGGGTCCAACCATGTAAACAATCTCAGCAAATAAATTACACAGGTTAGAAGCATCTGTAGCAAAACTAGAAGCATCAACAGATTTTATAAATGTTATTCCTGTTGGACAATACACCAAGAAATTTATCAAAGATCTATTGCTTGTATCAGACCAACCATCACCCATAATTGTGCAACCTGTGTCACTCCATTTGCTTCGATAAGAGTCTACAATCAATCCCACTTGAAGTTTAGCATCACGTAACAAAGGCACTCTCAAAGCATGGTATGAGGATCCTTTATATCCAAATCCCATAGAGGCAATTTTATCAATAGCAACTTGATAGAATGGAGAATTTACCGCATTAAAGGGTATGCATGCATCATAAAACCAAAAAGCTAAAGCTAAGTTGGTTTCATGCCATCTCTCTTTACTTTGTAAAGCAGCTTTAATGGTGATTTGAGAAGAGTCACTAGTTCCCGCTTGAAAATATTTTTCTAATTCTGAATTAGCTTTTCTCTTGACCCCTTGAGAAGAAGTACCCACATCTCTAACAAGAGAAGGATTAACATCACCATCAATTGTTTCAAATATACCCTTTTTTTCTCGAGCCTTTTGCACATTCTCGTCTAATGATTTTTGGATAAGAGCCTTAACCGTGGCATCGACTTTCCTACAAGCATCAACGCTACCCCTTTTTCCGGCTAAATGGTGTTTCACTCTATTAATTCCCCCTCCTTTGAAAATCTTTTGACAAAAAGTACAAATTAACACTTTTTTATCTCTATCATCCTTAGCTTCAATACAATAATCCCAAGCCTTATCTTGTTTACTTCTTACATTTTGAGTGACGGGAGTAAGATTGGGAACCTCCAAATGAGCAGTGAGCAAATCTTCCTCCATAGACTACAATTAAAATTAAAATACTTTATGGCATATTACAACATTAATAAAAGTTTAAAAATAGAACCTAAACATTTGCAGAACCTAAACAAAACATAAACATTAACATTGGCAGAACAAAACCTAAACAATCATTTAATTTGCAGAACCTCAAATTTACAGAAGGAACAAAATTCGAACCTAAAGCCCTAAACAAAACCTAAACATGTACGGAGTAATTTGCAGCAAAACATTTACACCAAAATCATACCTAAAGAGAACCAAAACAAACCTAAAAGAGACCTAAAGATTTGCAGCAAAATTAACTTAAACATTCCAAGCAATTCATGTAAAAAACGAAATACAAATTGGCCTTAAAAACTTAAAATTTTTTTAATGTAAATGATAAATAGTGATTGAAGCTTTACCTAAAAACTTTAAACCTAAAATTGACTGAAAAAATATAAAAACCTACCCACCTAAAATTGCGAGAAGCTCACCAGTTCGCCGCTAAAGAGAGGTCTGAGAACAGAGAAGAAGAACGTGAGAGAGACAGATCTGCTTTTGAGTTTTGAAAACAAAAAAAAGCGTAAATATTATAAACCCGCGGGTAAGACGGGTTGACCCGGGTAGACGGTTTTGCCGGGTTTTCCGGTTCCCAGCGGGTCAATAGAGAACTAGGTTTTGATATTGGACCGGACCGGGAAGCTTACCGGTTCGCAGTCTGACCGGTCAGACCGGCCGGTTCGGTCCGGTTTTAAAATCATTGCCTCCTCCTGGATTTCTGCCTCCTCCGGAGGGTATGCAGGATGCTTATCCGCCAAAGGTTCGCTTAAACGCTCCGAAATTTAATGGCTTGGATGCTTATCCGCGGGGTAGGTGATCAAGATAAAATCTTACTTTGATTATTTTCATACTCCGGATGATGTTTGTCTATGTCTGCTCGGTTTTCTTTTTGGAAGCTCGAGTCCGATTGGTTTCTTTATCAACACAACAACAAATGTCTTACTTCTTGGTCGGCTTTTCTCGGGGCTGTCAAACAGCGGTTCGATCCTTCCCATTATGAGGATTATATGGGACTTTTATGCAAGTTGCACCAGCGCACGTCTGTCATCGAGTACCAGGCCGATTTTGAACGCCTATTGAGTAAAATTACCGGCATTCCCGAAGCTTTGTTAATCTCCATTTCTGTGGCCGGGTTGAAGCAGCCCACGCGGCGGGAGGTATTGTTGCGGCGGCCGGTGACTCTGGGACAAACTTTTTCTTTAGCCCGTGAGCTCGCGGCTAATTATAATGATACCTTGGCGGCTTTATCCACACCGTCTAAACGCACATGGAATTCTGCATGTTTGAAATGTGACGAGAAATACGTGCTGGGTCACAAATGTCAGCATCGCTTCCTCTTCTTATTGGACACGGAGGAATTGGAATCTGAGACTCCCCCTTCCAGAGATGATGCCTTGGTCCTCTTGAGTCGGGATGTGCCCAACATTAACACTCTCACTAGCTTTCAGAATCCACGTGCTCTTAAGGTGATGGGCACCATTCACGGTCAACTAGTACAGGTATTAATTAACGGCGCCAATACCCATAATTTCGTCCAACCGTCCGTCGTCGAATAAGTTGTCCTTGCGTACGATCCTGGTACCTCAATTTTGCATCTAAATTGGCAATGGTGAGTCTCTACCTTGTCAACACAAATGCGCGAAAGTGGTTTTGGATATTTAGGGTTTTTCCTTTCCCGTGGATCTATTTGTGCTCCGTATTCAAGGGCCAGATATTGTCTTGGGTATTCAATGGTTACAGGGACTGGGCAAAGTTGGACATGATTATAGCGCACTGACCATGGAATTCTAGGTGGGAGATCGACTGATTACATTTCGTGGTGATAGCCCGGCCACCTGCTGCTTTTCTTACAACTCCATGCATACGTTAACCCAGCCTGGCAATGTCGTAGAGGGTTATGAAATTGAATTGTTCGCTGATTCATCTAAGGTAGAGTTGGTCGCGCCTGGGGAGTTTTTGGTAGAGCTTCCACCTGACATTCGGCTCATCTAGGAGGCCCATCACCCCGTCTTCCCGCCACCTACTGGTATACCTCCCCCGCGGTCGTGGGATCACCTTATCCATCTCACATTAGGGAGTAGGCCGGTCAACGTACGACCCTATCTTTATCCATATTATCAAAAAGCTGAGATCGAAAAGCAGGTGCAAGAGATGCTGGCTCACGGTTTAATCCAACGTAGTCGCAGTCTTTTTTCATCCCCGGTCCTGCTGGTGAAAAAGAAGGATGGGTCTTTCCGATTTTGCATGGACTATCGGGTGCTTAATGCTATTACAGTCGCTAATAAGTTCCCTATTCCTACGGCCGATGAGCTATTTGATGAGCTTGGCCATGCCTGCGTCTTTACTAAGCTCGACCTTTGTTCCGGCTATCATCAGATTTGAATGCACGAGGATGATATATACAAGACCGCTTTCCGCACCCACGAAGGCCACTTTGAATTCTTGGTTATTCCCTTTAGGTTGACGAATGCTCCATCCACATTTCCAGCGGCAATGAACCATATTTTTGCATCATACTTGCGGCGCTTTGTAATCGTCTTCTTCGATGATATTCTTATTTACAGCCCTTCTGTAGAATTACATGGGTCACATCTCCAGGTGACTTTGGATATTTTGGCCTTGCATAATTTTTTATTAAATTGGAAAAGTCCACATTTTGTCGGAACATGGTGGCCTCTTTGGGGCATTTGGTCACCCACAGGGAGTTGCGTGTTGCCTCAACGAAACTCGAAGCAATGGCGGGTTGGCCAACACTGAAAACTCCAAAACATCTACGAGGTTTCCTAGGCTTGACGTTGTACTACCACCGTTTCATTCGTTCCTATGCCATGCTCATAGCGCCCCTCACATCCTTGTTACAGAAGAACAAGTTTGCTTGGGCACCAGAGGCAGACGCGACTTTCCAACACCTCAAGATGGTCATGATATCTCCACCGGTGTTGCGGCTTCCGGATTTTACCGAGACCTTTGTGTTGGAGACTAATGCGTCGGATGACGGCATAGGGACTGTTTTCATGCAACACGGCCACCCCACCGCTTTTTTCAGTAAAAAGTTGGGCTCCCGGCGATGCTTGACGTTGACCTACCACAAAGAGCTTTACGCTATCGTGGAGGCAGTGCATAAATGGCATCAGTACCTATTAGGCCGGGAGTTTATCATTCGATCAGACTAGAATAGCCTCTAGGAACTGCTACTTCAAGTTATTCAAACACCGGAGCAGTAGATTTATATACGGAAGCTAATGGGATTCAAACTCCGTATCGAGTACAAACGTGGGACCTCGAATCTAGCCGCTGATGCCTTGTCCCGCAGAGATGCCGATGACAATTCAACCATCCTATTCCACCAATATGCCTAGCCGCAACCACAGATCCTACAACATATACGGGAGGAGAATAACACCGACCCCGACCTTACTGGCAAACACCAGGCCGCAGCAACTGGGGGCTTACCCGCGCCGTATGCCATACACAATGGCATCCTCTATTATAACCATAGACTCTGTCTTGGTAAGTCGTCGGCGCTTAAATCCATTTCTAACGATATTTGTCTTGGCACGCCTACTTCAGAGTCACCAAATCGAACAATGATATGAACGTGTTGAATGGTTCCTACATATTCAACGATATCTGCATTGGACGTGCACCAGTCGTGCAATTAACTGCCAATGGTCGCTAATATAACATGGGATGTCACTTGATGGATCTGATCTATCCATGTTGGCTAGTATTTATGAAAACAATCATGTATCGGACGAAATCAAAGAGGGCATTTTTTGCACAGAAACAAGAGTCGACACATGAAGATGTAAAACGCGCCTTCGAAATCCTCCAATCATAGTGGGCGATGGTGAAAGGCCCCACACACCCGTGGTGCTGATTGTTCATCTTGGACATCATGTTTGCATATATAATATACTGCATAACATGATAGTTGAAGACGAGAAAGCCAACATCACTCATTTTACAGATGAGGGGACACATCTACTTCCGAGGCCACCATTCGCCAAGGTCAAATGACTCAAGGGCCACCTCCTGATTTACAAGGTTTTGCAAATTGGCGTGTAAGGATGCGAGATGAACGAAGCCATGATACCCCCAGGATGGTTCGATCGAAGAAATCTGGAGGCGCAACAATACTTAATCGTAGCATTAATTTTTGTTATTTTTTAAAATTTTAATTATACTTTTGTGTCTTTCGTCTTTTATTTTGATATTGTTTTTAATAAAGAGTGTCAATCTTAGCATTTTTATTTTAATTAATGTATTTTATTTTTTAATAAAAACCTGGTATTAAAAATGATGAATAATGTAAAAAAATGAAGATGGAGGTTTTCAAAGCGATATCATTGTAGAATTTTGGAGCCAGACTAAAAACTAGTGAGATGTTGATGTGACATGAGTTGGGGGGGGGGGGAAGGGCCGAGATTCCCTCTCATTGTAAGTGATTTAAGTGAATTGTAAGTGCACTAAAGACAATAAGAGCAAACATAATGGGCGAGGTGGTGGGCTGCCATGCCATGCGACCTCAGCAAAATTCTTAACTTTTTGTTTGTTTGCCTCGCGTGGCTTGCAAATTTGACACGCATTCAAAAGCCTCAGAGCACTAGGTATGCATGTAACGCCGACCGGTGTTAGGGGCGTTTTAATGCCCCGGGGGCGTTAAACACCGCCCCCCGGCGGCGTTACCCGGGTGTCACAGCGCCTGCATCAAATGAATGACGCTTCGTCATTCTCTTCCCCTTCCCCCTTTAACGGCTATAATAGCCGTTGGACTAAAAAAAGAAATTTTTTTTCCTTATAAATTCAAACCCCCCTCCCAATCTCTCACACCTTCCTTCTTCACTCTTCTTCAATCTTCTTCTTCCAATATTTTAAATTTCGAAATCACCCCCTCTCTTTTCAACATGAATCCTTCTGGCTCCGGCTCTTTCCCGACAATCTCCCGCCAAGCGACGCCGCGATGTGGTTTTACTAAGAGTGGGGCGATCGACCGCCGATCTACGAGACACAACAATCGGGGTACGTCGAGCGAGATGCGGTTCCGGAGACTCAACCGGAACCGACCAGGTCGAAAAAAAGTACACGCCGGAAAAGCCACAAAGCCAAAGGCACGATGACTGAGGCGACACGGTCAATCCAAAAGTGGACGCCGGAGGAGGAGTGCTTATTGGCATCAGCTTGGGTTGACGTCTCCGAGCATCCTATCATTAGTAAAAAATTTATTTTTTTAATATATTTATGTTTTTATTTATATATATTATATTTAATCGTGTCTAAAAAAATTGTGTTATACATTTTTAAAGGTTCGGAGCAAACGAAGGATGCGATGTAGGATCGTATCGAGGAGAGGTTTTTCACGACGATGAACAAGGACGATTCCTACCGAACCCGGGACCAACTCACTTCCAGATGGAGCCACATCAACCGTAAAGTCCGAAAGTTTATCGAAGTTTACGAGGAATGCTCCTGGTCCCAGAAAAGCGGGACGAACGACACCGATGTTCTCCGGCTTGCCACAGCCTGGTATCAAGACGACGCGCACCAAGGCAAGGTGCCCATCGATCTTTGGAGGATTTTGAGCCGTTCCCCGAAGTGGCAACAACTCAACAATCTCGACGGCGGATCGTTCTGGAAAAGATCCTCCGTCAACGCCGAGGTTGAGGTTGACGAGACTATCGATTCGACCGATCAAATCCCTCCCTTCAACGTTGTGGATTCCGATGACGAGGACCCCATTCCACGGCTGATCGAAAGAAAGAAGGAAAAATCCATTGCCTCGGGTTCGGGAGGGTCCGGCTTTGTTTCCGTTTCTTCCCGCGACGAAATCGGCCAGGAAATGGTTGAACAACTTTGGGCGTTCAATCTCCGAGAACAAGAGAGGTTGAAGCTAAAGGAGAAGGAGTTGAATCTAAAGGAGTTGAAGCTAAAGGAGTTGAAATCGACCTTTCTACGTTGTCGGAGATTGGACAAATGCTCTACGAGCAAAGAATAAAAGAGATCAAGGAGAAATATAATTTTCCTTAGTTTTATTATTAATGTATCTTTTTTTATTAATGTCGCTTTTTTTATTTAATGAATGTATTTTTTTATTATTCCTGTTTCAATATAATTAAATAATAAATTAATGAGTAAATTCTATAATTGGTCCTTTATAACAGGGAGGTTTCCCTATTTAGTCCTCTATTATCAAATATTATCCCAGTGGTCCTTCTTTTATGGGTACTTTTCCACAAATAATCCTTTTTTTGATCTTCTATCATCTTGGTGTTAATTTGAGAGCTAAAAATGTAATTTCCCAATGATAATATATTTTTTTTGTCATACACAATTCCAAAGGCTGTTCCGTTTTCGTCGTTTGTAAATTACATTCGCTTTTTACGACAACGATAGTCTACAAATGTGATATTTCGTCAGAATCTTAGCCCACAATCATAGTCATTATTTTTGTGTTATCCGCTTAACCAATATCAGAACACGTCACTAGACATAATGTTGATGTCAAATTATACTTATAGCCTTTAAATTAACACCAACACGGCAGAAGATAAAAAAAGGGACCATTTGTGGAAAGATACCCTTAAAAAAAGGACTACGGGGATAATATTTGATAATAAATGACTAAATATGGAAACCCCCATGTTATAAAGGACCAATTATGGAATTTACTCTAAATTAATTAAATTTTATTAATTTAATTTTAGAAGATGTATATTGAAAAATGTAAAAAATGAAGGTTTGAAGCCCTAGTTTGAAGCCTCGGGGCTTCAAATCTATTTCCAGTGAATTTTGGGTGTAAGTTAAAGTTGACGTGGCAGAGAGAGAAAGTTTGAATCCCCGGTTTGAAGCCTCGGGGCTTCAAATGTATTTCTAGTGCCTTCAGAGCATCAGTAGCGGCGATCCGTTTATTTGCTACGCCCTGCCACATCGGATGAAAAGCCAACCTTACTCGCGTGGGAATATCATTTCTCCACGGTCAGCAAGGCATATGCGAGGCACTGTAAGCCTATTTTTTCCTTATATTTTTGAGAAAGAATTCCTCAAAAAAAGGAAAAAAATGTTTTCTAGAAGGAAGTAGAACTACTTTTTGCTCTCTTTGTCTTTTAATAAATTATACTACGTAATTTTTTTCACCCCTTGATAACTTTTGTTTACTTATTATTTTTATTAATTATTTAATAAAAAAATTTGTCACATCTTTTTTTTGTAGAACTTTTGATGTAATTTTTAAATTTATAAGTTTTATTTTTAATTCTTTTATGAACTTTTAAATAAAATAATTTTTAAAAACAAAGAGTTTTGCATCGTAATTCTAAAGTAATAATCTAATTTGAGATGAAGGAATAAATAAAAATATGGAGTAGATAACAAAACATTTTTAATAATTAAAAAAATATATAATTTATTTATTTATTTATTTGAGTAAATGTAAATATTTTCATGAAAAAATATATAAGTAAAATAAATTTTAATTATTCAAATACGGAAAAAATATGAAAAAAAGTGACGAAAACAATGACTTGCCAATACAAGGCATGCCACTCCACTCACGTGCCACTCGTTGACTGGACTATTTTTTATTGGTTGAAATGCTCCACGTTAGGGTGTGACTTCCCTTTTTTGTCTCACCATTGTTCATGCTCTCAGCGTGGCATTCCTCACCTTTTTTTAAAAAAATATTTTCCTTATTTTATATTTTTTCATTAAAAAAATTCCTTTTTATGTAAGAAGGTAGAAGTATTTTCTGATAAAGTAAATAAATAAATTAATTTAATAATAAATATTCTCTTCGTCCCAGTGTATTTGTCTAGTTTGATTTTTTCGAGTCAAATTGGACCAACTTTGAGCTTTAATTAAATAAAAATCGTAATATATTTTAACATAAAAATTACTTTATTGGATTTATCGTATTGAGAAAATTCAAAGTTGTATTTCATTATGCTAATATGCAGTATAAATTGAGAGTAGTTAGATTTCAAAGTATGTCAAGTTTGATTCAAAAAAGTCAAATTGGACAAATACATTGAGACGAAGATAGTATATACTAAAAAACGTAAAAAATAGTAAAAAAAATAACTCGTTATTGTAAAATTTGTCATTCCACTCATGTACATTTGCTGACTAGATTATTTTTTATTATTAAAATACACCAAATCAACATATGACATTCCATTTTTACTTCAACATTATTAGTGCCTCCTCTAAAGTCAAAATATCCAAGTGAATACTACTAGAATTTCGTACTCCCAGTTAAGTGCGTCAACAAAAGGAAAACACTTTAGCCAAACAAAACAAAAACATAACCTAAAGGAAATTAAAAGTTTATAACGTTCCAATTTCCTCTATCCACACTCGACCGTAGTTCCACTATTTATGTGCATTTCCTAATTTGAACTTAAGTTTAAAGGCTTCGTTCATCTCGCTGCGCAGCCACCGATTCAAAGTTTAAAGGCTTTTGTGTTTTCTTTTCTTTATTTTCATTCTGCTTATTTTAGTGCACCCCATAGTAAATGGTGGGCAGTTTGAGAGCTCTGCCTTTACAGTTGTAATGCATTAAGCTCAACTCTCAAACCTCTTTCTTTTGCTTTCTGTCTCGATATTGATTTGGGTGTAACTGTGTATTGTGTCTCTCCTGCAAATGGGCAGTTCTTGAAAAACCCATAGCTTATTTTTCTCGAATTTATTTTGATTGAGTTGAATTTTCAGATTCTGGGCATTGGTGCTTCTGTTTCCTGAAATTAAAAATCTCTCCGTTTTTTTCTGTCTGATTTTGTCCGTTCTGGGAAAGTAGGTTCTTGATTTGCTGGAAATTCTTGGAATTCTTGATTTGCCGAGAATGGAGAAGGGTTTTGGATTCAAGTGTGATTTTGTAATTATAATAGCACTGTATGTTGTTGGTATTTCTTGGACTCAAAAGATTGTTGCAGATGCCGAAGCTGATGGGGCAGTGTACATTGTGACTCTGAAACAAGCTCCTACTTCTTCTCATGTTCATACCCTTTTCTCCAGTGAGCTCAGAAATGGCGGTGAAGCTACTAGATTTGTTAAGCAACTTAAGCCTAGGTACTACCCTTTGTTTTTTTTGTTCCTCCAATTTTGGTTGTTTTGTTTTTGAGATTATCATTAACTGTAACAGATGTTTCTATTTGAATCAGCAATGTTTCAAGAACAGATAGAGGGCGCCGTGGTTCCCGCACCTTTAGAATGCATAACTCTTTGTTGAGGAAGGTGTTCCGAGGAGAAAAGTATATGAAGCTCTATAGCTACCACTACTTGATCAATGGCTTTGCCGTGCTTGTCACTCCCCATCAGGTATGCAAACCACAATATTTAGTCTTTCCCATTTTGGCATATATATATATATAGCTTTCTTTATACATATAATTTTTAAAATGTATGCCTAAATAAGACTAAACCATTCAACTTAAACCAAAATAAGACCTCCTATGTCTTAATCCCATAAATAGGAGTGTTGGCACTGTGAACGCCGCAATTTGGCACAGTGGGTTGGCATTCACTGTTTTTTGGCATTATGTGTTTTCATTATAAGACCTATTTTGGTATATGGGTCATGTTTATTTAGTCATAGTAAGGTATTTCTCCCATTATTCTTTACCCCTTTGTTGCATTTTTGTTACATGGAAGGCTGAGAGACTCTCAAGAAGAAGAGAAGTGTCAAATGTGATTTTGGATTTCTCAGTCATGACATCAACCACTTACACGCCTCAATTCTTGGGCTTGCCAAACGGGGCATGGGTTCAGGAAGGAGGACATGTAACTGCCGGGGAAGGAATTGTTATTGGGTTTGTTGACACCGGAATTGACCCGACACACCCGAGCTTTTCTGACAATGCAGCTGAAAAGTCGTATCCGGTTCCGGATCACTTTTCTGGTGTTTGTGAAGTCACTAGGGATTTCCCATCTGGATCATGTAACAGAAAGCTTGTTGGTGCTCGCCACTTTGCTGCCTCTGCTATAACCAGAGGGATATTTAATGCTACTCAAGACTATGCTTCTCCGTTTGATGGTGATGGCCATGGGACGTGAGTGCCTTTTTCATTTGCTAAAGAAACCTTAATTGGTTAAGTCCTACATTCATATTAGATCTTTTCATAAAGAATCCCGAACTCTATACTACTGTGAAGTATTATATTTTGATCCAAAATTATTACTTCCTTGGTCCGGATTTAGTTGTCCACTTTCTTATTTTTTGTTTGCGTGAAATTAGTTGTCCACTTTCGAGAGTTAATAAAGAAATTATTGTGAATTGTCTAAAATGTTTTAGAGACAGAGGATGAGACTCGTTGACATAAATGAGTGACAAACTCATGTGAAGGTCACTTTGACATTTTAAACTCATTTGTTAAAAATGAGATTTTTTTAGAAAGGGGACAACTAAATCTAGATGGACGGAGTATCTACTAAAAATAACTATAGACTTCTAAGTTCTACCATACCAAAAGGGTATTATGTGATGGAACCGTTTTGAAGGATGGCTTCATTAACTAGCCAAACACTCTTTTACTGGCTTTGGTTAGGTTATGGGGTCCTAGCCGATTTCCCATAAGCTGCATTTATGATTGTGCTTTGTGCTGTTTCTCAAACCTTTTTTCTCCAACCTTATCGTTTGGCAATTTTTTTTCCACGTGTTTTCTATTTGTTGTACATATCATACTATAAGTGGAAATTTCATAACAGAAAATCCAGATTTTTTTTAGTTTGTGCCCAAGAAGCAATAAATGTTTCTTATTTAGATTCTCTAGCTTTTAAGCACTCAAGATATTTCACAATGAGCAATTGCTTATTTAGTTTTATGATGGATTTGCGTTAGGATGGTCTCATTGCCAAATGTTACATGCTCAAAAGTGTAACCAATTAAAAGTGCTGGATTCATATATTGTTCTTAAAACGATGTCCCCAACGCAAGAACATAAACTCATTTTGGATAGTCTTTTTTCTTCTTTGTTTTAAGCAACAAGTTGCTCAGTTAGAGATGATTTACTCGTCAAGCTTAATAAACTAGTTTGGAATGGTCTTTCAGGCACACAGCATCCATTGCTGCAGGGAACCATGGGATTCATGTAGTTGTAGCTG